TTTTCTTTTCTTTTTTTTTTTTTTTTAATTACTCAAAGATTTAAGTTCCAGCTCCCTTTTTTTTTTTGGACAGGTAGAGTTATAGACAGTGAGAGAAAGAGACAGAGAGAAAGGTCTTCCTTCCGTTGGTTCACCCCCAAAATGGCCGCCATGGCCAGCACTGTGCCAATCCAAAGCCAGGAGCCACGTGCCTCTCCCTGGTCTCCCATGCGGGCACAGGGGCCCAAGCACTTGGGCCACCCTCCACTGCCCTGCTGGGCCACAGCAGAGAGCTGGACTGGAAGAGGAGCAACCGGGACTAGAACTTGGCGCCCATATGGGATGCGGGCGCCACAGGCGGAGCATTAACCAAGTGAGCCACGCGCTGGTCCCCAAGCAATTTACTTATTTTCTCCGAGCCTGTGGAAACTTCTGCTACTTTATCACTAGATGGCATCCTCAGTCCAGGTTTGCCACACGTCTGCTGTTGATGTATTGTCACTGTTTTAACACTAGAAGGCACCCCAAAGTCAGAGTTTCCCTGATCTGCTGTTCACAATTAACTGAGTGTTTAAAAAAGGTAAACTGTCCCTTCAAACCTCTAACTAGGGCTGGGTAAATGTTAGGAAACTGGCGCAGTTGGCCGCATGGCCCAGCTACCTGAGCCAGGCTCCACCCCCATCCTAATGGGATTGGCTGCTCCTGCTTCCCTGCCCGCCCTCAGGCAAAGTTTTAAAAGGGCCTGTTCCTAAACAGGTGCCCTCTTGGCCCTTCTCTCCTGCTCTCTCTCAGCTCTGCTCCCTTCTCTCTCTTGGCCCCTTCTCTCTTGCTCTCTCGGTTCCTCTCTCCATCCTCCTCCTCTGGTCTCTTGGCTCTGCTCTCCTCTCTCCTCTTCTTTGCTCTATCTTCTCTCCTTGCTACTTCTTCTCCTCTCTGTCTCTCTCTCTTACAGTCTCCCTCTCTTTCCTTCGCCGCCCCTTCACTCTGGTCTGTAGGTTGTTCCCCAATAAATCCTTTCCCTTACTCCGGTGTCCGGTGTGCTTTGCGACGGCTAACATTAAGATATAACAGTAAGCCCAGATGCCTTGTCCACAGTCACTGCCCTATGGTCAGGCACTGTGGAATTCTGCCAGGCTCTGGCCTTCACCACGGAGGGATCAATCTCAAGGTCTTTGCAGTGACTTGGTGTCTACCTCCCTTTCTTCCAAGCAGACAGTTACTCTGTATTAGGCTCCTTGGAGCTTGGGGAAGAGTGGGGTTGGCAATCATATTGCTACTCTTGCTCTAATACTAAAAAAATACCCATAGCCCACTGAGGCCTGTGCAGCATGCAGTGTGGCTAAGGCCCATCCTGCTCCAAGCTGCCTGCTGCTGAGGTGGACTTGCAGCTGCAATTAGCCACAGATGATGCTGGCCAGTGTGTTAAATCTGACTAACTGGTGCCATGAGTCTTCACCTGGAACCAGAGTAAGTCCAGAGACTTCATCATCAGCCATTGGCCTGGAGACAGGGACCATTGGCATCTGCCCAGTTTCAGGGTTTTTGATCAGCCCAGCTCTGAGTTCCAAGACATAATCCTATGTTCACTTGCCTGCCCTATTTTCAAGTGACTGGAGTCTTGCTCCTTGCTGTCTGTACAAGATGGGGAGAGGCATGATGGAGGTAGTCCCTTGGCTGCCCAAGCTAACACCAAACTGATTCTCACCACCTCAGGGACTTGTGCAGTCTTGAGGGTGCCTACCAGGTCTTTGTGTGGCTGACAGTAATGCAGGCCAGAGCATTAGGTCCATCCCACTGGTACATAATTTTCTGCCTCATATCAAGGAAGATCTAGAGGTTGCCTGAAAATAGGGACTTTGGGCTTTATCTGGTGCTGACTCTCTGCCCAGAGACCTTGCACCAAGTCCCCAAGCAAGGACCTTTGCTCACTTCCCTGTCCTACTCCCCAGGAGCTAGAACCTTGCTGTTCTGTGTGCTCAAAATTGGAGGAGGAGTGTTGAAGGAAGTCCTTTGGCAACCTGGGGAGGAGGGTTCAGAGGCTCAGCCTGCATGTACTGGCCTGGATCATGGAGCCTTCTCTGGCACTGAATTTCACCGTGGCAGAACTGGTAATGAGTTGCAAGTCTAAGGTCTGGACTTGATTATCACTTTGCTCAAGCAGGGAGAGGTCTATTCGCACTGTACTGATTGGATTAGAGGGATGATATAGTTAACTCTTTTCCTTCTTGCCTTTTCTGATGCATCTTTTCGTGTTATGCTAACAAGCACTGTGATCTCTCCTCTGGCTTTCTTAGCTCTTGTGAAGCTAGTTTGGTATATAAATAGCTGTCCAAATTGGCATCTCTGTCAAGATATTATCACTAATGCTTCTTTCTTAGCCTCCATCTTGCTCTGCCTCTTCTCAAATTTTTATTTGTAGCCCATAACTCTCTTCTGGACTCTTGACCCATATTTGCAACTGCATAGTTCTCATTTCCATTTGGAGTACAAAAATGTCCAAAACTGAACTTACTTCCTTTATCTTTCCCACAACTACAGCAGTAACACTTACAACAGCATTAACAACAGCAGGGCAGACATTGTAGTACAGCAGGTGGATGCTAGCATCCCATACTGGAGTTCCTGGGGTCAAGTCCTACCTCCTTCCCATTTGGCTTCTTGCTGAAACTCATCCTGGAAGGCAGTAGGTGATGGCTCAAGTACTCGGGTCTCTGCCCTTTCCTGGCTGTTGCAAGCATTTGGGTAGTAAACCAGCAAATGGAAAACTTTCTCTCTCTGTCTCTCTCTCTCTCTTCCTTTCAAATAAATAAACTGTAACAACAAATCCTGCTCTTCCTATACTACATTCTCATCTCAACAATAGCAGCACAAACTACCTAGTCATTTGCTCAAGCCTAATGGATGATCATCATAAGGGCAGCACTGCACTGGAAGACTTTAAGTGGAACCCATTGCTTTGTATCAAAACTCATCCTCAGTGCACTCTGTGAGCCCTGGTTCCCAGATGTAAGGGCAGGCACTTCCTTACTGTGTCAGCACCAGGACAAGTTCCCCTAATTAGTGCCTGTACTGCAAAGCCTAGAGGTTTTCTGTTTATGTCTATTTAAGGGCTTTGTGGAAAACTGTAGCCGTGATTGACAATTATCTTTTTTTTATTTTTTTATTTTATCTTTTTGACAGAGTGGACAGTGAGAGACAGAGAGAAAGGTCTTCCTTTTGCCATTGGTTCACCCTCCAATGGCCGCCACGGCCAGCACATCACGCTGATCCGAAGGCAGGAGCCAGGTGCTTCTCCTGGTCTCCCATGCGGGTGCAGGGCCCAAGCACTTGGGCCATCCTCCACTGTACTCCCAGGCCACAGCAGAGAGCTGGCCTGGAAGAGGGGCAACCGGGACAGAATCTGGCGCCCCGACCGGGACTAGAACCCGGTGTGCCGGTGCCGCTAGGCAGAGGATTAGCCTATTGAGCCACGGCGCCGGCCCAGACAATTATCTTTTATTCTTCCTCTTCTTTACCCTTAACAGCTAATTAATCACCAAGCCCTATTATTTATAATTCTTAAAGATCTTCTCAAATTCATCTGTTTCCCAACCATTTCTATAACCTGGAAGATTGGTATCCCCATCTGTTCACTACAAAGCAGCTCAATTAATCTTTTTATTTAAAAAAAAGGAAGATTTATTTATTTATTTGAAAGGCAAAGTTAGGGGAGTGTGGTGGGGAGACAGAGACAGCGATCATCCATCCATTGATTCACTCCCCAAATGGCTACAACCACCAGGGCTGGGCAAGGCTGAAGCCAGGAGCAGGGGCCCTAGCACATGGGTCATCTTCCACTGCTTTTCCAGGCTTTAACAGGGAGCTGGATTGGAAGTGGACTTGGAAGCTAGGACTTAAACCAGTGTCCATATGGGATGCCAGCACTGCAGACAGTGGTTCAACCCACTATGCCATGGCGCCAGCCTCTCAACTGATTTTTTTTTTTTTTTTTGGTCAGGGAGAGTTAGACAGTGAGGGAGACAGAGAGAAAGGTCTTCCTTCTGTTGGTTCACCCCCCAGATGGCCACCTCGGCCGGCGCGCTGCGCCAATCCAAAGCCAGGAGCCAGGTGCTTCCTCCTGGTCTCCCATGTGGGTGCAGGGCCAAAGCACTTGGGCCATCTTCCACTGCCTTCCCAGGCCACCACAGAGAGCTAGACTGGAAGAAGAGCAACTGGGACAGAACCAGCGCCCCAACCGGGACTAGAACCCAGAGTGCCGGCTCCGTAGGTGGAGGAGTAGCCTAGTGAGCTGCGGCGCCAGCCTCAGCTGATCTTTTTAAAAGGTTATTCGCATGACTTCTTCCAGGAGAATTTTTTTGCCAAAGATCAGAGGATTCTCCTCATGATAGCTATGGTATGTGTATCTTTTGGTTTTCATCTGTGGCTCCTGGCTTACAGCATATTCCTCTATTTCTCTCTCTCTCTTTTTCTCTTTCTTTCTCTCTCTTCCTCTCTCTTTCTCTCTTTCGGTCTCTCTGGACCCTTCCAGACCTTGCCTTATGTCTACCTGATTCCTTATTTATATCCTTCAAAATATGCTCTATAGTACACTGGTAAATCTAGTATTTCCCTGAGTTCTGAGCTCTGCCAAATTGGTAGAACTTGAAGATCATGGGAACCCCAGTTTGTAGCCATTTGGTCAGAAGTTGCTGAGACCTAGACTTGTGACAGGGAAGTGGAGGCAGTGCCGGTCACTGAGACCTCAACCTGTGGGTAGGTACTATTTAAGCTGGTGTCCACTGCTGCAGTTGATAATTTGCTTGCTGGTAGGAAGAAATCCCCATTACTTTTAGAGTCACAGAAGTCTGCTGTGTTGATTGTGGTGTGAGAACAGAGAAGAAATGGTTAGTTTTTCCTATACACTTCCTTATTTCATGTCAGACCTCTGCTTTATAATACAGTATGAAAAATGTTCAAAACTTCAAGGGACAGATATCAATCAAAAATAGACTTTATGTTTTCTTTTATTTTTGTCCTGTCAGATGTGCTTAAAATGAAACTCTGGGAGACAGTTGTGACGCACCACGTGAAGCCACAGTTTGGGATGCCAACATCCCATACCAGAGTGCCAGTTTGAATCCTGACTCCTCTGCTTCTTACCCAGCTTCCTGCCAGTACATCCCGGGAGGCAGCAGATGATGGCTCAAGTGCGTGGGCTCCTACCACCCACATGGGAGACCTGGATGAAGTTTCTGTCTCCTGGCCTCATCCTGCCTTAGCCCTTGCTGGTGCAGGGATCTAGCGAGTAAACCAGTGGATGGAAGCATTGTATGTCTTTCTCAGTTTTTTCTGTGTGTGTGTGTGTGTGTGTGTGTGTGTGTCACTGTGCCCTTCAAGTAGATGAAAATAAACATTTTATAAAGTCAAACACTGGCTTTTCTGCTTTCTATCAACTTGTTACCTAATGTTGGATTGTTCCATTTTATTTCAACATTATCTACAAACTGAAGTAAGTCTCATTTGACCTCTCTTGATGGGATCCAGGTTACACTCCTGACCCTTAAAAATTTTAACCCAACACTGTACTCTTATGCATACAATTTTTCCTTTGCCAATTAGGTGGCACTAATAAAGTTTTTATAGTCCTGTAAGCCATTATCTTAATAATCCTTTGTAATAGACGTTCCAAGTATTTTGATGCAAAGAATGCATTCAAATTTTTCTTTTCCTATTTGGCTATCCAGTTATCCCAGTATCAATTATTAAGAAATGGAGCATCATGTTTTTTGCAGTTTACAAAAGAGCAGTGTAGTTGGAACATGGCAATGAGGAAGTAATTAGAAATAATGCTAGTTTAGAAATTAGTAGTCACTACCAAAATGTTAATTATATTAATTAATTAAAAAATCAAATTGATGCATATTTTCCCAAACCATTTGTTAACTTCTAATCTTTTCCTATCGTTTGAGGGATAGTCTAATTACTTATCCAATGTACCTTGGAAAGCAAATCTGGATAAATTTGCTAAATTTGTAATGAGCAGGAGACCACTATTCCCAAGATGTAATCACTGTAGCTAGCTAGCATTACTTAAAGCCGGAGAGCTGGCATAGTAGGCAGTTACAAATACTGAAAATGATGCGAAGAACAGAAGTGTGCCATGTCCATGGCTATTATTGCTGCACAATCCATAGACAGCTGCAAAAGAGGTTCCTAAACTTGCCATAGGTTGTGTTGTTTGCCACAAGAAGGAGTAACTTCACGTATTACAGATATCCTACATGCAAGGCAGTTACTGTAATTCAGACAAGGTGAAGTTGAAAATGTAGCTTTACATTGTTCTTGTTAGAACAAGAAAAGTCAGTGATATGTCACCTAATATTAAGCATGTTGGGGTTTTATTAAATATCCCAAATATAAATTCAGCTACATAGTCTGGTATTTAACTCAGTATTCCTGTTGAGGCTTGGCTACAAAATAGCTGATGTATCTTGCTTCCCATTAAGCAAAAAATCCCCAGCTATGGGAATTTTGCTCAAATATCCCTTGATTCACACTACCCAGTTTAAAACACTTTAGGATCTGTCAACTGCTTATATTAAAATAGCAGACAAAATTTCTAATGTATATCATACGACTGCATTATCTGGTCCTACCTATAGCTTATGAGAGAAAGTTTCTCTGTGTATAAGTATTTGAGTTAATAAATGAATAAGACATCATAAAATTAGATTATCGCTAATCTGCAATCCCTAATGAGTAATCCCCACTGTATTCAGTCAGTGGTTATCTAGTTGCTGACAACACACAAAGAAAAAAAGACAGTCAAGCTTATGTGTCTCCTGATTTGATGCAATAGGATATACATAATACCTGCTGTGAAGTATCTCTGACAGAAAATTCAGCTTGAATCTGATCAAACCTTTATACCTAATTACCAGTGTTATAGGAAATACAGTAGACAGAAGAGCATGTTAAATAATACCTTGTAAATACAGTCAGGAAAATCTAAAATAAGGGCAGTTCTATAGAACAAGTGACTGTTTAATCAACAAATATAAGAAAAATAAAGAAGTGCAGAAATGGTTATTTATTCTAAGAGAAGTAAGACAGTATTCAACTAAATGCAACAGATGAATCCTGATTGTGATGTGGGAGAACTAGACAGGGAGTAAGGTAGAAATAAATAAAGCTAGAAAATATGTAGTCCTGTATTGAAATTCCACCTTGTTGTCAATCCACCATACCCACTTTCCCATGGTGCACTTATGTCTCATCTAGATCCAGGAAGTTTAGCTCCAAGTGAAGGTGCTATGAAACTCTCAGAAAACCTCAGGCACACCAAACTCCACCTGGTTGTGTATTCATTTGGGGCACCACTTTCTATCTCATAAAAGCAGACTGATGCATGTAGAAATGTGTTTCTTTTGCTCTTGGCTTCTGGACCATCCATATGCATCCCTTCTTCAGCTACCTCCCACTCTGTCTCCTCATAGGCAACTCTCTGGCCCACTCATGATGGGTATTTCTCTGGGGTGGCCTACACTCACACATGATTATATATTCACACTCTCTTTAAAAAAAAAAAAGATTATTTATTTATTTACTTACTTGAAAGGCAGAGTTACAGAGAGGCAGAGGGAGAGAGAGAGAGAGAGAGAGAGAGAGAGAGGTCTTCCATCCACTGGTTCAATCCCCAAGTGACTGCAACGGCTGGAGCTGCACCCATCTAAGGTCAGGAGCCAGGAGCTTCTTCCGTGTCTCCCATAAGGTTGCGGGGGCCCAACCACTTGGACCATCTTCCACTGTTTTCCCAGGTCATAACAGAGAGCTGGATCAGAAATGGAGCAGCCGGGACTCAAACCGGTGCCCATATGGGATGCCAGCGTCACAGGCAGAGGCTTAGCCCACTGCACCATAGCACCGGCCCCTATTCACTCTCTTTGAATAAATCTTTCACTCACTTGTGCATTGTTTTTATGCTTTGAATTCTGTCTCTGTGGGGGCAAGAACTTAGAATCAAAAATTGAGATACTTAGCCCATAACAACAAATTATAAAAACATTTCTGAGACAACTATGGAAATTTTAACCTTGCCTGGATATTTGACATTTATTATCATGTTTCTTAGGCATAAAAACTGTATTATAGATACTTTAACTGCTAATCTATGAGGGGGTCTTCAAAGTCTATGGAAAATGCATATTATATAAAAACTATGCATGGGTTTCAGAAATTTTTTTGAAAAACATTTTATTTATTTGAAAGCGTTACAGAGAGGGAGAGACAGAGAGACAGAGATCTTCCATCTGCAGGTTCAATCTCCAGATGGCTACAATGACCAGGTCTGGGCCTGACAGAAGTCAAGAGCCAGGAAATTCATCCAGGTCTCCCACATTGGTAGAAGTGGCTCAAGCACGTGGGCCATCTTCCAATGCTTTTCCCAGGCCAGTAGCAGGGAGCTGGACTGGAAATGGAGCAATTGGAACTCAAGCCATCCCCGTTTATGGGATGCTGGCATCGCAGCCATGGCTTTACCTACTATAGCACAATGTCAGCCCCTCAAAAATTTTTTGCACCAAAATAAACTTACTTTTAAATTCCAATTCCCATAAATTTTAGTAAGTAATATTAGAGATACATGTAATAATAAAAGCTTTTTTTAAAACTTTCTTTTCTTCCTTTTTAAAATTTATTTCCTTCCTTCCTTCCTTCCTTCCTTCCTTCCTTCCTTCCTTCCTTTTTAAGGCAGAGTTAGAGAGAGAGAGACAGATAGACAGAAAGGTCTTCCTTTTCCATTGGTTCACCCCTAAATGGCTGCTACGGCCCGTGCGCTGTGCTGATCTGAAGCCAGGAGCCAGGTGCTTCCTCCTGGTCTCCCATGTGGGTGCAGGGGCCCAAGCACTTGGGCCATCCTCCACTGCCTTCCCAGGCCACAGCAGAGAGCTGGACTGGAAGAGGAGCAACCGGGACAGAACTGGTGCCCTAACTGGGACTAGAACCCAGGGTGCCGGCACCGCAGTTGGAGGATTAAACCTAGTGAGCCGTGGCGCCGCCCCCCTCTTCTTTTCTTTAAGAGCTTATTCACTGAGTGTCTGGAATGCTCATGTCCCCTTCCCTTTCTTCCCATTTTCACCAAACTGATTTCTACTCATCTGTCAAATTTCAACTCAACCTGCCCTGACTAGATCCACTTTTGTTGTGTAATGCTATAAATACCCAAAATGATCTCTTCTAATACTAAAATAATTGTGATTAAATAACTATATATTTGTTTGGTATTGGTCTGCTCTAATTTGTATGTGTAAGCCTTCCAAAGTTAGGCACTGTCCATTTCTGAATGAGTAATGAAAAGTTGTAGTGGGAAGAGAGATGGCAAAGTGATTAATTTCTGCATAATATTTATTTATTCCTTCATTATAGTTTTTTTTTTTGGTTTACATACACGAGGCTGTTACACAGAGCATAGAAAAATAAAATTGTGATGTCTTACTGATCTACTAGTAATATTTTTTACCATAAAGAATATTTGATTTATATTAATATAGCTAGGCCAGTTTTCTTTTGGTCAGTATTCCTAAGGTATGTATTTTTTTAAAACTTTAAAATGTTTGTTCATTGTTGATAATTTTTATTTATTATGTATTATAAGCAATGTTGTTGAATAAATCACTTTGTTGATTGAAGACAGCACTGTAAGGCAGATGGAAAAGAAAGCAAAGATCTCCTCTAAATGGTAGTTCCTCTTTACTTAATCAACTTTTGAGCCTTTCAAGTAAATGCACCCTTTTTAAAAGAGCTTTTGAAACTTTTGACCACAGCGTTCTGCCTTCATTCCACTTGCTGGATGTCAGAAGGTATTTCCTCCCCTGCTAACCACAAGGCAACTCTGGGTAGAAGAGGGGTATCTTTGGAATAAAATAGATCCTGTAATTTTATAGGTTAAGGGACTGGAGTATGGTGGTAGTTTGCAGTTTGTGAACATCTCCCCCCCACCCCCGCCACAACCGCTACTTCCTTCTTATAACATGGTTCTTGTCAACAAACATAGACTAATTTTAAAATTATATTTCAGTGATTAGATTTTCCACAAGTCTAAGAGTCCTGAGTCAAAAATGGGTTCTACTGTATTTTGGAGAAAAGTAAACAAGAGCGAGAGTGTGATAGCTAAGTACTGCTTTTGTTGTTCTTGTTGTTGTTAAGGAATTCAGTTGACCCATAATTTAATATCATAGTTTCCACTTCTTGGAAAAAAACTTTCCCATTCCTTGGAGTAAATGTGTGTTTTCTCATTGTTTCTCTTGTTCCACTTGTTTAGAGTGCACCTTCTCTCACCACCTACTCAAATTCTACCCAAATCTTTCTGCTCCCTTCAACATCCATTACTGTTTACTGACATTTCACACACTAAGATGAATGGAGAAAACGTTTACATGTGAAAAATATGAGTGCAACTATAAATGTACAGTGAATGTTCTCAATACTAAAGGAGTTCAAAACATCATCTGGGCATAAATAATGAGAGAAGCAGTTTCACATGGAAGGTATTGAGTTGAACATTTTTGGATAAGCAATATCTAGACAGTAGAAATTCATTTTCAGAAAAACCAAGGGCAAAAGTATTAAAAAGAAATGTTTATGGCATAGTCTAGAAACAAGCAGTAACTAATTGGACTGGAGTTGGGGTTTGTGGAGAAAAGTGGTAACTTGGAAAAAATATAGGTCATACCTAGAAATATAGTTGTCGGCCAGAATTGGGAGAGTGGTGATCCAGAAGATAAGGATAAAGAATAAGACTATTTTTGTGTAGGCAAAGGAAGCCACAAGAATTTAACAGCGGAAAGAAGCACAAGTAGAGCAATATTTTACCACAATGACAGTTACAGAGGGATTCAGGATAAACTGAACTGCTGAAGACCAAAGCCAAGAATGATTGCTGTACTTCAGAAGGGAGAGTTGACTCTGTCCTGGGTATATACTGTTCTGGGTGAAAATCAAACATGGTCAAGACATGGGACATGGTGACCATACTAGTCCCCAGTGGTCCAAAGACTACTTCTTTCTCCTCTACTCTCTGTAAGTAATCTAAAAATTTTAACAGAAGCTCAGGTTATGTGCACAGTAGCATATAAAGAATTGGAGATTAGATAATTTGTTCTAGTGTTTGGAATAGGCTATACGTCATAGTCTGTGAAATGGAGATGAGAATTGAATGGGTTTATTCTAATGTCTCATGTAATCTATTTTTCCTTCTTTGCTTACCTCTGCACTTAATTTGAAAGTTATTTTTAATTCAGATATCATTTGGAACTTTTTTGGGAAATTTGACTTTTGTTTCTGATCACCCTGAAATACTCTTAGTATGTGAATAGTTTATCAAAATTGTCAAGTTTAGCAACTTTGTCTTTCTGTATTTTGACATGTTGTGATTCTTCTGGAACAGAAATTTTAAAGTGTGAGTTGTGATTCATTGGTGTGCTGTGAAATCAATGTAGCATGTCATCAGCAACATTAAAAAATCAGAATACATTGTAAAAAAAGGGAGAGTTGAGAAAGAAATCATTAAGGAAAACTTGATGAGACTAAGATACTATATAGAGGGGGGAGAAATAGAGGATGAAGGAAAAAAACATGCTTCTATTTCAAAAGAGAGTAAGGCAGAAATGAAGTATGAAAGCCAAGAAAAAAGAAGCCAGTTTTGCATATTTTGTGTTCTATGAAGTCTTCTCCAACTATTCCATCCAGTTTCAACTACCGCAAAACTTAGTGACTTAAAAACAGTATTTATTATATTCATAGTTCTGTGGGTTGCTTGGGTAGTTCTTCTAGTTCCTCCTGGCCACTTGAAGAGTGAACCAGCAGATGGAAGATATCTCTTTCTCTGTAACTCTGGCTTTCAAATAAATCAAATAGACTTTTTTTTTCTTAAGAGGAAAGCTAAAAAAGAGGCTGAAATACTAATCAGGGACCACAAAAAGACTGATCTTGTTGAAGTCTTGTTGAAGTCTTGTTGAATTAGCTTGAGAGGAGATATGTTGATGAATTTTGAGCAGCATTGTGGTATGATTACATAAGTCGTTGCTAACTGCCCATGATGAGTGGAAACAGATGGAGGAAACCAAGACTGGAGGTGGGGAGTTGTGCTGGGACAAGGCAAGTGAACGTAGCACTAGCTTTGTGTTAAAGAGGCAGCAAAAGAAACTTGAATCGTCTAACTTGAGGAGACACCAGAAGACTCAGTAATCTGATTAATTACATTTTAATGAAATATTTTAGAAAATTAAACTAAAGCAAAAATAAATCCATGATGAACAACTTATGGAAATTTTACATGAAGACAGGGTTATTGAAAGGATGTTATGCTAATCTAGGGGAGAGATGATGAGAGCCTGAAGCCGAGGAATAGCATCAAATGTGAAGGTGGTTGCACATATTGAAGAAGACTATGAAAGGAGTTTCTGAGGGGTGGTGAAGTCTTTTACTGAGACATTACCCAAAAGTGGGCAGAAATTTATAGAGGGAGAAATGGCAGAGTGTGTGAAAGCAAAAAATTAAATACTGCTTTGGACATACTGAGCTTATTAAGAACCTTCGGATACATTCAACTGGAGCTTCTAGTGGCAGTTGAAATATACGAATATAATGAAGTAAAACTTGTTACCTTATGAACAGCCCCACTGTTGCTGCTCCTTATCTGTTAGCTTCTAAATATTTTCACTGTTACTTCCTTGCCAAACCAGTTCTTTGTGAGGAAGGAAAAGAATTTTAAAGGGTCAAAGTCCTTGGGGTATAGGAGCTGACAGCTGGTAGCTAATTTGTTATCAGCCATGTGTTAGAAGAGCAACTAATGGACTTTCCCTTTGTCCCTGAACCATTTCCAGCTCAGTACACGTTCATCCTCATTGTTCCTTTAAGGTTCCTGTCATTAGCTGTATCAACCTCTAATCTTCATCAGTGCTGTCACTTCTTGTCAACCTGGTCATTGCCTCTTTCTCATCAAAGACTTTGCTGCCATATGTTGTTGTTACCTGGAACCCTTTCACTCTGAGCTCTTCAAACATACCACTCTAGGACTTTGATCTTGCAGCTTTTCCCACTATCACCCCTGTCATCATACCTACAATCATCAGTTCCTTGAATTTATCCATACTTCCTTGCCCCGACCCCCTCCTCTGGGTTTCTATCATCCCCCTCCTCCTTCCTTTCACCCTATCCAGATTACACTTCAACAATGTCTGCTCCAACAACCCCACTTTCCATGCTTTGTTTCCTGTTGTCATCTCATCTGATAGACCCCCAACTAAACAAGATCATCTTGAACATAGGGACAGGTTTTGCACGCACAAGAGCCACTGCAAGGGGGACAAATGGAGATAAACCCAAGCTTCAGAGTCTTGGGATTGTTTTGCCCCAAAGGCACACCTTTATCTAACCTGCCACATAATCTAGGGCAAAGGTTCACACACTATGGTTCCGCAAAGCGTATACTCCTGTGACCCGTTTTTGTATGGCCCACAAGCTAAGAATTGTCTTTACATTTTTTTTTTTTTTTTGACAGGCAGAATGGACAGTGAAAGAGAGACAGAGAGAAAGGTCTTCCTTTGCTGTTGGTTCACCCTCCAGTGGCCGCCGCGGCCGGCGCACCGCGCTGAACTGAAGCCAGGAGCCAGGTGCTTCTCCTGGTCTCCCATGGGGTGCAGGGCCCAAGCACCTGGGCCATCCTCCACTGCACTCCCTGGCCACAGCAGAGAGCTGGCCTGGAAGAGGGGCAACCGGGACAGAATCCGGCTCCCCGACCGGGACTAGAACCCGGTGTGCCGGCGCCGCTAGGCGGAGGATTAGCCTAGTGAGCCGCGGCGCCAGCTCCTGTCTTTACATTTTTAAACGGTTGGATGACATCAAAGGAGTGTAATATTTTTGCAGTATGTGAAAATTATATAAAATTCAAATTCAGGGTGCAGAAATACTGTTTTATTGGAATATAGCCATGTTTATTATGCATTTACATTTTAGTTATGGCTGATTTTACATTACAAAGTCAGAGTTGAGGGGTGGGCATTGTGATGCAACATGCCATAACAGAGTGCCTGTTTTGAGTTGTGGCTACTCTGCTTCTGATCCAGCTTCCTGTGAATGTGCCTAGGAAGGCAGCAGATGATAACTCAAGTACTTTGAGTCCCTGCCACCCACCTGGGAGAACTGGATGGAGTTCCTGGTTGCTGGCTTTTGCCTGGCGCAGTCCTACCTGTTGCAGGCATCTGGGAAGTGAACCAGTAGATGGAAGATCTTTCTATGTCCTTCTCTCTCTATCACTGCCTTTTAAATAAACAAATCTTTTTCAAAGGCAAAAAATGTCAAAATAGAATAGCTAAAGTAGGGACTATATGCTCTGTAATCCTAAATATGTACTTGTTACAGAAGTGGTTTGCCTACTCCTGGTCTAACAGGTCTATAATCTTCCTTCTGTGTGCCAACACCTGGGCTGGTAAATATTTGCTAGAGAAAATCCATTAATTATACAGATTGGTGCCAGAGGGCATTCACGATCTCTAACCTCACCTAGAAAGTCAACATTACCCAGAAACTTCTAATCATCTTAGCTCTCTTTCTTTTCTTGGGTCTTTGACTTTTCCCACTCTTCCAAGCCTCCAAACACTTCACCCCCTCAGCTGAACAGATGCCTCACTCCTACTTCCAAGTGAAAATAGAAGGCATCTGATTGGCACACCCTCTGTTTCCCGCTACTGGACCTACACATTTGCCTTCCCTGGCTCTCGCCCTTTGTTTACTACCTCTTGTGTCAGTGGAAGTAGGAATTTCTCACTCACTGAAAGCAAATTCTTCAGCCAGTGCTGTGATGGTTAACTTCACATGTCAGTTTGACTGAGTTAAGGGAAACTCAACTTGTCTGTAAAACATTAATTCTGGGCATGCCTGTGAGGGCATTTCTGGAAGTGATTAACATCAGAATCAGGAGACTGAATAAAGAAGATCCACCCTCACCAATGTGGGTGACCATCATGCAGTCTGTTGCAGGCCGGGAGAGAATTGGCAGAGGAAAGGCAATTTTGCTCTCTGCTGAGGCTGGGACATCCATCTTATCCTGACCTCCCAATACCAAGGTTCCAGCTTCTCAGGTCTTCAGACTTATATGGAATACCATGTCCCTCTCAGTTGTCAGGACTTTGGACCAAGAGCTGTTGGCTCCTCTAGTTCTCAGGTCTGACTCAGACTGGATTATACCACCCACTTTCTTGGCTCTCTACCTTGCAAAGAGCATATTATAGTAATTCTCAACCTCCATAATTGCATAAAGCAATCTCCATAATAAAATCCCTTATAGAGTGGAGTGGGCGTTTGGCCTTGCCATTAAGACACCACTTGGGATATCCGTATCCCATTTTAGAGTGCTTGAGTTTGAGTCCCACTTCTTCTCCCATTGCCAGCTTCCTGCTAATGTGCACATTGCAAGAAAGCAGGTGATAGGTCAGGTATTTGGGTCCTCAACACCCAGGTGGAAACCTGGCTTGCATTCCTGGTTCCCAGCTTTGGCTTGGCCTAGCCACAGCTGTTGAAGGCATCTGGGGTGTGAACCAGCAAATGGGAGATCTTTCTGTCTCTAGGCCTCTTAAATAAATTAAAAAAAAAATAAAATAAAATCCTGGAGCCAACGTTATAGTGCAGCAGGTGCAGGAGCCTGGGCATTTAGGCTTTCCTCTGCTACTTTCCCAGGCACACTTGGAAGAAACTGGGTTTAAAGTGGAGCACCTGGGACTTGAACTGGCACTCTTATAGGATGCTAACATTGCAGGTGGAGGTTTAACCAACTGTGCCATAATGCCAGCCTGAGAGTGTTTTTAAAGGAACAAAAAAAGTTTTTCAAAGATTTATTTATTTAGTTGAAAGGCAGAGTTACAGAGAGGCAGAGGCAGAGGTGGGGGGTGGAAGGAGAGAGAGAGGTCATCCAACTGCTGGTTCACTCCCCAGATGGCAGCAATGGCTGGAGCTGGGCTGATCCAAAGCCAGGATCCATGAGCTTCCTCTGGGTCTTCCCATGCAGATGCAGGAGCCCAGGGACTTGCGTCATCTTCTACTGCTTTCCCAGACCAAAGCAGAGAACTGGATGGGAAGTGGAGCAGCCGGGACTTGAAGTGGAGTCCATATGGGATGCCTGCTCTGCAGGCGGTAGCTTTACCCCCTGTGCCAGGATGCCAGCCTCAGGAACAAAATTTTAATGATAAGTTTTCTGAATTGGTTTGGGGTTCCTATAGTTGACTGTCTAATTTGATGAAATTTAAAATTGCTGAGGGGGTCCAGCATTGTGGCACAGAGATTTAGACCACTGCTTGTGACACTCACATCCCGTATTGGTTCAAGTCTTGGCTGCTCTGCTTCCTATCCACCTCCTAGCTCACGTGTCTGAAAAAGCAGCATAAGCTGGGAGATGGAATGGAGTTGCAGGCTCCTGGCTTCAGCCTGGCCCAGCCCTAGCGGCTGTGACCATCTGCGGAGCGAACCAGCAGATGTGGAAGATCTCTTTCTCTGTCTCTCGCTTTCTAGCTCTCCCCCCTCCTTTTTCTCTCCCTTCTCTTTCTATTACTCTGTCTTTCAAATAAACAAAACACATGTTAAAAAAAAAAAAAAAAACAAAGGCACTTGCTAGGGATCTCATTTCTGTTAGTAAAGGAAACACTGACAGTCCATGGAGTGAACTGTTTATAGAGATAAGCAAAATATCTACTTTGGGTAGTCCTAGTAAACCACTTACAAGAAATGTCAGAGGATAAAATTATAACAATTTAGCAATCTTAATTGGCTTTACTTTAGATTTTTCAGGCAACACTTCACTCCGTAAAATAGAATAAGTATTCTGATGAACAGGAGTTGGTTTAATAGGCAGAAAAGGGCTGAAGAAAGCAGAAACAAAGACCAAAATGAGTTGATCATTTAAAGGTTACTTTTTTTGTAAAATCAGGATGATGAGACAGAATAATAGGGAAAGAACTGGAGTGTTAACCTCAGGTTATTTCAGGTGACTTCTCTTGTGTAGGGATTAAAGCACATTATCATGCTGAGTGATTTCGGCCTATTTGGGAAACTTGGCTGTTGTATTTCTAATCCTCGCTTCTCTGAAGGTCAGGTACACAGCTTAGTTTCAGCTTGGTAATGTGTAAGTTTACTGTGATTCCCTTTTGATCCTTATCCTGGTGCGTTGGGGACCAGCAGTACAGGAGCTTAGTCCAAAACAATGGCCTCCTGTACTTTTTATTTAACAGGGGCAAAGAGCTAAGTAGCTCTCTATATACCTTTGGACATTTTTGGAATACTAAGGAATGCAGTGATGTTGGTCGCTCCCAAAGCTGGCGAACGAAGTAGTGAAAGAAAAGGACGAACTTAATGGTTTAAGTTCCCAGCAGTGCAAGCACTCATAGATGATCTAAGCACTTGTGGGTTTGCCCTGAAGGAGAGCCTCATCTCCCATAGCTCTGGAGCTGACACTGCTGAAGATCAGACACAACTCTTTCTCCTGCAGCCAGCTGCATTCCAAGGCTTTGTGGGTTTTCTACTGTCAAAGTACAGGCATTCACTGGAGAAAGAAAGGGGTCCTTTAGGTGAGGACAGGTGCATGTCAGGAGAGCCCATGGAGCAGGGGATGTTGAGCCCTTAAATCCTGGTATCTTTTTCCCCAGTAGATAAAGTCCCTCTAGTCTGAGCAGAAGCAGCCTCCTCAATCTAAATAGACTAAGACCAAGTGCTGTGGATGCCATCACCTTCTTCAGTGTCCTATAGGCAGGGATTAGCTTACCACTTCCCAGTCTGTTGGCTCCTCACCATTGGCACATTTGTGATGATATTATCGGTTGACACAGTCTCCTACCCTCCTCTCTGCAAGAATGTTTATACTTGGCTTCCAGGACATCCCATTTCCAGTTTTTCTCCTTCAGTGGACTAGTCTTCCACTCTCATTTGCTGGTTCCTTTTCATAACCTTGGCCTCTAAACCAGCAGTTCTCAAAACTTTGTGCCCCCAGGACCTCTTTTATGTTTTAAAAAATTATTGAGGCCCTCAAAGAGGTGTTGGTTGTGTGGCATATCTGTCAATATTTATTCCATTTAAAATTAAAATGGAAAGGCTGGTACTGTGGTGTAGCAGGTGAAGCTGCCTACTGTGCATGTGCATGACTTATGGATACCGGTTCAAGTCGTGCCTACTCCACTTCCAGTCTAGCTCCCAGCTAATGCAACTAGGAAAGTAGCAGGAGATGACCCAGTACTTGGTTCCCTGAACCCAAATGGGAGACCCAGAAGAAAGTCTCGCCTCCTGGCTTTGGATCGGCCCAACCCTGTCCATTACAGCCATTTGGGGAATGAACCAGCAGATGGAAGATCTCTCTTTCTTCCTCTTTCTCTGTAACTTTGCCTTTCAAATAAATAAATGTATCCTTTTTAAAAATAAAGTCAACAGGGGCCAAGCACTGTGGCACAGTGGGTTAAAGCCCCAGCCTGTAGCGCCAGCATCCCATATGGGCACCAGTTTGAGTTCTGGCTGCTCCTCTTCTGATCCATCTCTCTGCTATGGCCTGGGAAAGCAGTAGAAGATGGCCCAAGTCCTTGGCACCCTGTACCCATGTGGGGGACCTGGAAGAAGCTCCTGGCTCCTGGCTTCCATCAGCTCAGCTCTGGCCATTGCGGTCATTTGGGGAGTGAACCAGCCAAACTGAAGACCTCTCTCTCTCTCTCTCTCTCTGCCTGTACTTCTCTCCATAACTCCTCTGTCTTTCAAATAAATAAAATAATTCTTAAAAAAAAAAATAAAGTCAACATTCACGGTGTCCCGTCTTCTCTCTTTTTTCTTTGTTTATTTGAATGGCATAATGGCAGAGAGGTAGGGGGGACAGAGAGAGAGAGAGCCACCTCTCCCATTTGCTGGGTCACTCCCTCCAAAATTATAAATTCATTTAATTTAATTATCAAAAACCTATGACATGTTAACATAAATACCATTTTCTTAGGGAAAAAAACTATTTTTCAGAAGTAATTAGTGGGAATGTTGTAGGATTAGTGGGATGTTGAATCCACTTGCTTGATAAACAGCAAGCAAATCACTGACATTGGGGTGGTGTGAGAAAGCAGGTATTTATTGCAAAGCACAAGGGGTTAGAGGTAAGGGGTCCTACAGATCGAGTAGCTCTAACGATGCACTGAGAGGCATTGTTGTATGTATTTTTAAAAAAGATTTATTTATTCATTTGAAAGAGTTACAGAGAGAGAGGGAGAGACAGAGAGAGAGGTCTTTGATCTACTGGTTCACTCCCCAAATGGCCGCAACAGCCAGTGCTGGCACCGGGCTTAAGCCGGGAGCCAGGAGCTTCTTTCAGGTCTCCCACATGGGTGGCAGGGGCACAAGTATTTGGTCCATCTTCCACTGTTGTTCCCAGGACATTGGCAGGGAGCTGGATCAGAAGTAGAGCAGCCAGGACGTGAACTGGTGCTCCCATGGGATGCTAGTGTCGCAGGTGGCACATTAACCCGATATGCCACAACATCAGATCTTTAACGACGGTATTAACTGTCTATGCTTCATAGGAAAACTTTGCCCACTACTATTCTAATTTAGTAGAGGACAGCTACATTTCTCACTTATACTTCTAATTCGGTCTATTGTAATTTGTTGTTTGGGTTAAAGCACATGAAGAAAATCTGACTTCACATAGCCAGTGTATTTGGAAAAAGGAAGGAAAAAAAAAGAGGAGTATTTTAGTAGCCTTTTGAGATAATAGTGGATATTCTCCTCTGATTGTGCAACAGAATTCCAAGGGATGATTTCTTTTTATTTATTTATTTTTTTGACAGGCAGAGTTAGACAGTGAGAAGAGAGACACAGAGAGAGATTTATAGACAGAGACAGAGAGAGAGGTCTTCCTTCTGTTGGTTCACTCCCCTAAAGGCTGCCACGGCCAGCGCTGCGCCAATCCGAAGCCAGGAGCCAGGTGTTTCTCCTGGTCTCCCATGCGGGTGCAGGGACCCAAGCACTTGGGCCATCTTCCACTGCCCTCCCAGGCCACAGCAGAGAGCTGGACTGGAAGAGGAGCAACCAGGACTAGAACCCAGTGCCCATTTGGGATGCCGGCGCTGCAGGCGGAGGATTATTAGCCAAGTGAGCCATGGCACTGGCCCCAAGGGATGATTTCTTAAAAGTTAATTGCAAAGTGCAACCTGATACCTTATCAGTGAACTTTTTGTCTTCAGTTAAGTTAAAATCTATTGTCCATCTTGCACTTGTGGCTCTGGACAATGAGAGTTGCCCATTACCCAGGTTCTTGTCAAGAGCGAGTGAGAAAATAACAGATAGCAAGCAGCAAGCATTTTATGGAGAAAGCAAAAAGTGCACATTCCACAGTTAGAGTCCTGGCTCTGTGGAGGAGAGTGGCTCTTTGTCTGAACTGGTGTTTGACAATGAATGGTTGGTTAATGAAATATATTCATGGTTTTTCTGGGAAGTGGGTGGAGATTTCCCAACATCTAGCTACCACCCCTTCTCAATCTTTATGTGGTTCGGTGTTTCCTGTCATGGCGGCTGAGTAGGTATGTCATTTAACATGCTAATGTATTACAAGAAGCATATAACCCGCTGTAGCTCAATCTGGGTCATCCTTGACCCTCTAAACTGGTTTGAGCCTCCTCCAGGCAGGGGGTGTGTTGTCTTCAGAGCAAGAGGAACCAAACTGATATCCTGTAGGCCTTGTGGTAATAGGAACTCCCAGGTGGCTCAACCACTCCCTCCACTTGTCTGTCTCACTTGAAAGGGCTCTCTCTCTCTCTCTTAAAGATTTATTTATTTATTTGAAAGGCAGAGCTAAAAAGAAGCAGAAGTAGAAAGACGGAGGGTGGAGGGAGAGAGAGAGAGGTCTTCCATCCACTGGTTCACTCCCCAGATGGCTGCAACAACCAGAGCTGCGCCAATCTGAAGCCAGGAGGCAGGAGCTTCCCACGTAGGTGTAGGGGCCCAAGGAGTTGAGCCATCTTCTGCTGTTTTCCCAGGCCATAGCAGAGAGCTGGATCTGAAGTGGAGCAGCCTATATGGGATGCCAGCACTGCAGACGGCACCTTTACCTGCTACACCACAGCACTGGCCCCATTGGAAGGGCTCTTGTAAGCATGCATAATTTTGTAATGTAATGCATTCTGAAAATATTGGTTCCTTGAATGAGGTAGGCTGTAGGGAATGACTTGTGACATTCTAAATGCTGATGTATTTCATTGTACAATATATATATATTTAAAAAAATCACAGTAGCCAATATCATCGCTGATCTCATCAGACAAATGGAGGTACAATATCAAACCTGCAGAGGGAGATACAAAGTTTTCAAAATTCTAATTTGTTTGAAAGCTCAAATTTTATCTTAGGCAACAAACGCTGCCAGCTGTTCCCTTTGAAATGACAAGGCCACTTGCTCTGTTTCAAGAAATGTGTCTGCCAAAAATTCAACTTAACAAGCTTATTTTTCCATTACTCATTTTTTTAATTTAAAAATTGTGTCCCCTGGGGGAAAAAAGCAGGTTGGTCAGTCTACAATTTTTTTAAAAAAAAGTTTTATTGATTATTTATTTGAAATGTAGAGTTACAAAGAGACATGGAGAGGCAGAGAGAGAAAGAGAGAGAGAGAGAGAGGAATCTTGCAACTTCTGGTTTATTCTCCACATGACTGCAACAGCTGGGACCAGGCCAGGTTGAAGGCAGGAGCCAGGAGCTTCACCCAGGTCCCCGATGTGGGTGCAGGGGCCCAAGTACTTCAGCCATCCTTTGCTGCTTCCCCGGGCACATTAGCAGGGAGCTGGATTGGAAGTGGAGCAGTCAGAATTTGAACATGCACCCATATGGAATGCTGGGCCTGCAGATGATGGCTTAACATCTGTACCATAGCACTGGTCTCCGGTCTACAAATTAAACAATGATACAAGTTTCTTTCCTCTAGATAATAAAAATATTCGGGTTTGTACCAGAAATGTTTTATTAGAACTTTCTATGTTGTTTCACCGATTGTTAAATAGATGCTTTATTACTCAGCTTTGCATTACGATAACAAAATACCCAAGGTCTCTAATATTTTAAAAAGAAAAGATTTATTTAGCTCACAGTTTTGGAGGTTCAAGTGCATGGTGACTGGATTGACTCAGTTCTGACAAGGGCCCTCCCAGCTGTATTCACCTCATGGCAGTGTGTGTGTGTATGTGTGTGTATCTGTGTGTCTGTGTGTATATAAGAGTTTACATCACCAAACAGGAAGGCAGAGAGAATGGGGTCTCACTGTATCTTTGGAGGTCATGCTACCAACTCCCAAAGGATTCACCACCTCCCAGTACTGCCACCCTGGGGACCAAGTCCTCAATCACAGTGCAACCTTGGGAGACACAATTAAACCATTAAACTACATCCAAGCCATAGCAGATATGTACTGAAGTTTCAAAATTTAATAAAAGCAGTGTTTACTCTCTCCTAAGGACATTCTTGAGAGAAGCTTAGCATTTTTAAACTGCAAGAGCAGTGGTGGTGAAGAATGGGGTTTGAATCTAGTGTCTTGATCGGTGCTGAAGTGACAGCAGTTTTATCCACTATTGTTTTTTATATTTTCAGTGCAATTATCAACATGGCAGAAGAGGCAGATAATGTCTTTGTGCTACTATGAAAACAGTTCTGACCTCCAGGGCCTTGTGAAAGAGTCTCAGAGAACCCCATGGGACCACAGACCACATTTGAGAACAGCTGCTCTGAACACTCAAGTGTCCCAAAACTTAGTCATTGAATCATCTCTTCTCTCTTGATCCCTGGAAAATTACAGCTAGTTTAATGACTTTGATGTGGGTTAGAATGGGAGTTAGTGAAGGAAAAGGAATTAAGAGGCTTACCGCAGTCTCTGTGCCATAGCCCTGTACTGCTAAAAACTCTGCCCACTTCCATGCAAATTCAGCTCATGCACTTTCCCATTCAGCACCTGAGCCCTACCCCCCACCATGCAGAATTCACCATAACGAACTGAGCTGCATGTACGGATGCCATGAAACCTTCCCAGAGATCATCAGGCACACTGGACTTGCCCAAACTCCACTCCACTTGTATATTCTATTAGGACACATCCCCTACACTATAAAGTGAACCGATGTGGGGCATGATTCTCCCCACAAGTTTGACTGCATTCAATCTGAGTGTGCACTATCTCTTTAATCTCTTTAAATAAATCTTGTTCCCACTCTTGCGCTTTATCTATGGCTCTACTTTGAATTCATCTATTATGCTGAGAAAAGAACCTTGGAATAAATCTAGCTGGGAACCTCCTACTGAATCCCAGCAACAGCTTTAACTATTATTTATATGCTCCCTGATCCTGAAGTTTTATCTGCAGTCCATATCATTTTCCTATAGTCTAGATATCTGTTCAGTATTTCAGAGTTAACATACTCAAATAGAATTCCTGATGTTACTGTCTTCCGTCAAGTTAATACTTTTGCATTCCTCCCCAACTCATTTAATGATCTCATCATCTGACCACTTGCTCGGGCAAAAAGCCTTGAGACATTCTTGATACTGACTTTTTCTCATACATTACGATCAATCTGCCAACAAAACTCTTTAATAGACTCAGAACCCAGATTCTCGCCATTTCTCACCACATACACTTCTACTACTTAGTGATCCAAACCACCATCATATCTTTATTGAATTACCTTCCTATATGTTATAGCAAACTAATTTTTTCAAGTTTACAGAGTAATCCTTTTGAAAGTTCAGACCATATCACTCCTTTATTCACAATCAAATATCGTTCCATATCACTCAGAATAAAAGCCAAAAAGCATACAATGCTGTGTTAATTATCTATTGCTACACAAAAATCAAACTCAAAACTTCATGCCTTAAAACAACATCTAGGGGCCGGTGCTGTGGCAACGCGGTTAAAGATGTTGCCTGCAGTGCCGGCATCCCATGTGGGCACCAGTTTGAGTCCCGGTTGCTCTGCTTCCAATCTGGCTCTCTGCTGTGCCTGGGATAACAGTGGAGGATGGCCCAAGTCCTTGGGCCCCTGCACCTGCATGGGAGTCCTGAAAGAGGCCCCTGGCTTCAGATTGGCACAGCTCTGGCCAGTGTAGCCAATGGAAGACTAGTGGATGGAAGACCTCTCTCTTGCGCTCTCTCTGCTTCTCCTTTTCTCTCTGTGTTAACTCTTTCAAATAAATAAATAAATCTTAAAAAAAATCTGTATTTGCCTACAATTCCATGGATGAGAGCAATTTGGCCTGGACTTAGTGAGAGTTTTCTGCTAGTCTTGCCTGAGTTACTCATGTGACTAAAGTCAAATGATAGCTTTATCAGGGCAAGGTTGTTTAAAAAGAATTCACATGTCTAATGGTTAATGCTGTTATTAGTTGGGACACATGACTCCAGCATATAGTTGAGGAGCCCAGACTTCTTCAACAAAGCAGTCCAAAGGCTGTAAGAGCAAAGCAAATCACAGGGCTGAGCAGACTATCAACATTGATAGAGACCACACTAACATGTGGATCAGTTGTTAGTCAAGGTTAGGACAATGGGAGCAGTGTATCCTGGGAACAGGCACTAAAAGGATGTATTTTCCATCAAGTCACTAAGACCTGCTAAAAGTTTGTCTCATTTTGGTTAGCACCATGAGCTATTATTTCTAAATAATGGCAAGGCTGAAATAGTCCTTTAAAAAATTTTTATTTATTTATTTGAAAGAGTTACAGTGAGAGAGACAGAGGGAGAGGAGTGAGATCTTCTATCTGCTGGTTCACTCCCCAAATGGCCGCAATAATCAGGACTGGGCCAGGCTGAATCCAGAAGCCAGGAGCTTCATCTGGGTCTCCCTCTTGGGTGTAGGGGCCCAGGCACTTGGGCTGTTCTCCATTACTCTCCCAGGTGCACGAGCAGGGAGCTGGATCAGAAGTGGAATAGCTGGAACACAAACCAGTGCCCATATGGGATGCGAGGCTACAGTCCACAGCTTAACCTGCTGCTCCTCAGAGCCAGCCCCAACATAATCTCTAAAAAAGAAACCCTTTTCACCAAGATGTCTCCAAAGGCAAAGAAGGAAGCTTCTGCCCCCTCCCAAAGCCAAATCCAAGCCTTTGACAACTAAAAGGCAATGCCGATAGGTGTTCACAGCCATAAAAAAGATAAACACATCACCTGTGTTTGACCCCAAGACACTACCCACCTGGCGGTAACCTGAATATCCTCAGAAGAGCACTCCTAGGACAAACAAGCTTGACCACTGTGCGGTCAACAAGTTCCCCCTGGCCACTGAGTCTACCGTGAAGAAGACAGAAGACAACACGCTGGTGTCCACTGTAGATGTCAAGGCCCACAAGCACCAGATCAAACAGGCTGTGAAGAACCTCAGTGATGCTGACGTAACCAAGGGCAATACCTGATCAGGCATGATGGAGAGAAGAAGGCATATGTTTGACTGGCTCCTGATTGGGATGCTTTAGCTGTTGCCAACAAAATCGGGGTCATTTAAACTAGGTCCAGCTGGCTAAATCTAAATATATTTTTTGTCACCATAAAAAATATTTTGGTAGGGGTAGACATGGTGGTATAGCAGATTAAGTCACTGCTTGCAGTGCCAGCATCCCATATCAGAGTGAGGTACAAGTCCTGGCTGCCCCTCTTCCAATCCAGCTTCTTGACAATGTGCTCGGGAAGGCAGCAGATGATGGCTTGGGTCCCTGCCACCCACATGGGAGACCCAGATAGAGTTCCTGGTGCCTGGCTTTGACCTGGTCTCCCCTCAGCAACTGAGCCATTTGAGGAATGAACCAGTGAATGAAAGATCTCTCTCTCTCTCTCTCTTTTGCTCCCTCTCTCTGTATCACACTACCTCTCAAAAAAGATAAGTAACTTTTTAAAAAATCTTTTGTTATTTTCCTACCTCTTACCATTTACAAAACTGAACTCAAGATGGATCAAGGATCTAAATGTAAGACTTGAAACAGTAAAATTGCTAAAAGAGAACATAGGGAAATACTTCAAAACACCCAAAAACACAGGCAACAAAAACAAAACTACACAAATAAGTTTACATCAAACTCAGAAGCTTCTACTCAGCAAAAGAAACAATCTTAAAAATGAA